CACGAGTTCTCAATTTCCAAGGCACTCAAGTGAGGCAAAATATATCTTTCCCACCTGTAGTTTCATTGACAAATTATTTACAAAGCTAAAAAGACTTCTTGCTGGTCCTTTGAAGAGGTTCCTTTTGTTCTTTGCCATGTGACTAAAGAGTAAAAGCAAACTCAAATTGCAGAAATAACCCTGCAATGTACTATGTGGGTCAGTTAATGTTCATTAATTCTGTCATCTGAGCCCTTTCCATGTGAAAGTGTTCTTGCTTGCAGGTACAGATGAATTATGGTGGTAGGACTTTAGTGACACCATAAATCACAAAGAACTGAGCGACCTAAGGCTGGGTTCTTCTATGTCTTCCCTGTGCAGGAGGGTATGGTCACCCAACATGGAACCATGGACCCTTGAGAAGGTCAGGCCATCTGCTGGGCCCAGGTTTTCCTTGGCTAAAGAGCAGGTACCTGTGTTTTAGTCCAGTCTCTTCTGTAGGGGTCCTCTGCCCTGTCACATCTGAGAATATTAGATAGAATAGAATCTATAATAGAATAAAGGATTCCTAAATCTCCAAGCTGTCATCCTACCAGGGATCATGACTAATTTGTACTTTTTGGGTGTGTGACTTTAAACCTTTTATAGCTTTGATAACCTCGTGAATATATATATTTTTAATTTTTTAAAGTTTTTTTTTGAGAGGTAAAGTGTATGAGTGGGGGAGGGACAGAGAGAGAGGGAGACACAGAATCTGAAGCAGGCTCCAGGCTCTGAGCTGTTAGCACAGAGCCCAACATAGGGCTCGAACTCATGAACTGTGAGATCATGACCTGAGCTGAAGTTGGGTGCTTAACCAACTGAGCCACCTAGGTGCCCCCCTCATGAATACTTTTTAATGGGTTGAATTAATATAAAAGCAAATAAATAATAAGTGCATAAGTGGGAAAAATAATTTTGGTTTAGGGATTCCAATAATATAAAGTTTTAATTAACCACAAATCAGCTTACTAGAACTCTAAATTAGCTACCATTTTTAACATCCCAATATGCATTTATAATCATGTATTACTGATAATAGCTTGTCCACATCTTTATCTGTAATGTTATACCGACTGAATTTCTATAACCCTTCATTTTGGAAACCTTGGATTTGCTGATAAATTCACTACTAGCATCTTTTTCTTTCAAATATTGCAGCTCATATGTGTATTAAAAAATTGCTTATACATGCCTACCTATCTAAACTTATTTAGTTTATACAAACTTATTTGTTAATGGCTTATATGTACATTCCAAAGCAAAGTATGATGGAGACAGCCAAACACCTACCAAACAGTAGGCATGCAATACTGCAAAGCAATTCTGACACTAACGTACTGAAGTTAGAACAGACTGCACACATTGAAGAACACAGCCCCCAGGAAGACCTCCCTGACTTCAGGCACCAGCCACAAGTTCCAGAGTTCTCAGGCCACTCACGCTTCTGTCCAACTGTCCACAAATTCAGAGGGTTTTCTTGACCCTCTCAGGTTTGATAATTTGCTAGAATGACTCACAGAATACAAGGAAGCACTATCTCTACAATTTAGTTTATTATGAAGAATATAGGTCAAGGGCTGCCAAAAGAAGAGACCCATAGGTAGGGTCCAGAAGGATGCCAAATATGGAGCTTCCACATCCCCTCATCGAATCAAGGTGCACTACTTTCCTGGCACATCCATGGGTGGTCAGCAACCAGGAAGCTTAATGGGACTTCACTGTCCAGAGCTTTTATTCTGGTTTCATTAAGTAGACATGACTGATTAAATCATTGATCACATGGTTGAACTCAATCTCCAGCCTTAGTCCCCTTCCTGGAGGTTGGGCTGATATAACCCCAGCCCTAACCCTCTAATCACTTGGTTACTGTCTCAGGCATGACCAGCCTTCTATTCTGAGTCATCTCAGCAGTACCTCAGGTGTGGTCCCTGGAGTTCACTCTGAATAACAAAAATACTGTTAGTGCTTGGAAAATTCCAAGAACCTAGAGACTTCCTCCTAGGAACAAAGACCAGACAAATTCTTTATTATACAATGAAGAGAACTGCCTTAGACTACAAGAGACCTGACTTCTGTGTCCTACCTCCATATTCACCAGTAGCTAAACCTGAATAAACACTGAAAATTACCTGATGGACAATTCCTTCTGGATCTAAATTAGGTGGCATAGTAAACAACCAGTCACAGTACCTGAAGCACATTGTTAGTCATTTGTTTAAACAATTCATACATTTAGCCACTTACTCATTCAGCAAATACACAAAAATTTCCTAAGTGCCAGGCACGGTTTAAACCGCCACCGAGTGTGACCTGCAATTGAGTCTATAGACTGGTGGGTAGGTGCTCCCCAGAAGTGAATACTTCTGAACCTGGGGAAAAAGTATTCCTGAAATATTGGAAGTTAGTTAGGGGCAGGGGGCAGGGTGGTGGTGGTGGTAGGGTGGCTAACATCATCAAATGCCCTCAATCTGTGCATGAGCCAGGGAAGGAGGGAATGCAATTGGGTGTCTATCTTCAGGCCAATCCCCAAGATAGATGTTCTAATTGATGAGAGTGGCAAATAAAGAGGCTGAACACCCATATGACTATTGAGTATGACAGAGGCGGTGAGTGAGAGTCTGGGACTGAAGAAGGCTTCCTGACCTCAAATCCCACCACCTCTTCTTCTAGTATGTCATACCTAACATCACTCTCACATATTGTTGTCACCCAGGCTGGCATCTTTCCTGAAGCTTGGCTTCTGGATGTTTGGAGAATTAAGAGGATACCAGCTCTTCTAAGGGAAAAGATTTCTGTTGAATTCTGAGCAACAGTTGGCTCCCCTCTGTGGAAAAATGATACCACCTCCCTCTCACAACTGTGTTCTTTCTCAGTCAGAACTGTGAGTATTTCTTTGCCTGTTTTCTTCTTTTTCCATTTGGGAAAAAAGACCCAGGTTTCTTTTCTCTGTGCCTCCACTTCCCCAGGCAGAAGCTTTAATAACAAGCCCACAGGATTAGTTATTACTGCTATATATCAGATTACCCTCAAAACTGAGCATCTGATGACAGCACTTCTTATCTCAGCACAGTCTGAGAGGGCCAGTAATTCGGGAGTGCCATACTTGGGAAGTTCTGTTTTCGGACCTCCCATGGAGTCACAATAAAGTTCTGGACTGGGACTACAGTCATCCAAAGGCTTGAATGTGGCCAGGTGGTTCACTTATAAACTCACTAAGGTAACTGAGGGTAAAATGTCTCTGTTCCTCACCACATGGACCTCTCCAGATGGCTTCTCACAACAGGTATGGCAGCTGGCTTCCCCCAGAGTGAGTGAACGATGAGAGAGAGGATGGGGACAATCAAGTCTGAAGCTTCAATATCATTTATTACCTGGTCTCAAAAGTATCATGACAGCATTTATGGTTGTATTTTCCTGGTCATATAGACTGACCCTGGTACAGTGTGAGAAGGGACTTCTAGGAGGCATAAATCACTGGGGCATCTTAGGGATTGGGTACCACAGACTCCCCCTTGGCCACCAATGATTTGTGTCCCTCTCACATGTTAAATACACTCACCTCCTCCAAAGATCCCTCTTCTCCACCTCACATCTGCCAAATCTTACTCCATTACAGCATCAGCTCAAAGTCCAGAATCTCATCATCAAGATCAGGTTCAAGTGCAGAAGAGCCCCATGGCATAAAAATACAAGTTGTCTTTCCCTTATGTACCCAATATTGGTGGGGACAGGCAGGGGAAAGCTGTTTAGACATTCCTGTGTCAAAGAGGAAAAATAAGGGTCCCCAGGAGCCACTTATCCTAGTGTTTCTGAAATTCCTCTGTGCAAATATTGGCAGTTCCTGGATTAGGACTTAGTCCTACATCTACCCAGAAATATCTCTGTGGCTTTTGGTTCTGCTTTCTGGCATCTTGGTTTAAACTTCTGAGTTCCTTTTCTTTTTCATGACAGGTAATGCATGACCCTTAATATGAATAGTTTTCTCAACTTCCTCTGCTTCTAGAAGTTAGGGGGTTCCGAGGCTTCTTTTTATTTTGAACATTCTTTCATTTTGAATAGTGTCAGTCCAAGCTGGAGGTGCTTCCAAGGGTATAATTTGTCTTATAACATTGTGGGTCTCATGTGAGTCTTATTGGAGTTTGCTACATTCCATGAAAACCATACCCATAATTCTCTTCTACTTAAGCCCTTCTCTACTTGGGATTTCTGCTGAGGAACAGTCCTTGCAAGCTTCTTAAAAACCCTATTGTATGATTGAGAGAGTCCATGAAGTATATCCTTAAAATTTTAGAGGGTCTGTTTTCTGATCGAATGGTACCCTAAGGTACAACCTTTGATATTTCTGAAGTCTTCATAAAAGATTTATAGTCATACACTGTTTTCATTTCTGGAATATGCTTTTATGAGAGTGCTCTGTATTTGATCTTTGCTCAGAAGCCATTTCTTAATTTTAGCATCAGTTGCCACCTGTAGAGGCCAGGAATCTTCAAAATCAGCAAATCTTGGCTCTTTTTCCCACAATGTATCTTCTCTTCTTTCATATTTTACTCTAAGTAGCAAGAAGAAAGCAAGTGGCACCTTCAATTCTCCTTACTTCCACCACCCAGTTCATTAAACACATTTCCTGACTCCTACATATTGCAGGCAATAGTGTGGGTATTATACTGTCACTGCATAACGAAGATCCCTTTTCCTCTAGCATTGATCCGATTTTCCTTTTTTCTAAACCTCACTAGCAGCTTCCTCAAATTCAAATTCTACTAACACTCTGTTTAAGGCAATTTAGGCTTTAATTAATCCTTTCTGTAACATCCCTCCAACTACTGCCCACTGCCACAGCATTTCATGATTTAGATATTTGTTGTGAAAACACTCTGCCACTTACCAAAATCTGAACTAGTTGTCTATGTTGTGTAGAAACAAAATAACTATCAAGACATGGTAGCTGAAGATACCAGATGCTTATTATATTACAAGATTTCTGGGGGTTAGGAATCTGGAAGTGGCTGGGTGATTCTGGCTGAGGATTTCTCATCAGGTTGCAGGCAAGTCATCAGCTGGGGCTGCAGTCATCTGAATGCTTGAGTGGGGCTGTAGGATCATGTGCCGATTGACAGAAGGCTTTGGTTCCTCACCATGGGGGCTGCTCATGACATGGCAGTTGTCTTCCAACAAGAGACAGCAATACAGGAGAGAGAGTGACCAAGACAGAAGTTTCACTGTCCTCTATAACCTCATCTTTGCAGTGACTTGCCATCACTCCCACCATATTGGTCACATAGACCAACCCTGGTATAATGTGGGAGATGATCACACAAGGATACCACAGGAGGGCCAGGATCATAGGGGGCCAGGCAACAATCCTGCTAATTGTTGGCACCTGCTCTTCCCAGCAATCCACTGCCACAGACTCTGAGCAGTTTCTCAATCTGCTCAAAGCTTGTTTCAGACTCACTATTACCATCAAGGGGTTGGGCCACTTCCTCCTGTGAACACTGTATACATGCTTTTAATGTTATAATTCAGCAGTTAAACATAGCCATTAAACTGTTTCCTCCACCTTAGTGGAGGCAAACAATGCTCTCTGAGGAATTTACAGAGGTAGGAAGATTAGATCAATACCCATGTTTCTCCCATAACAGAAGCACACTCCAACCCTGCAGTCTGACTTGTGTTTTTGGATTTAATTTGGTGTTGGCTTGCTGTTGGGAGGATACAGTGATAGTTGTAACACAGTTTGCACTTTTCATTTTTGAATATAAAGGTCCTGTATGCAAGTGGCATGGGAGTATGTACCACCTGATGTGTATCAAAGCTCAAGGACTGAAGTTTTGCTCTTGGTTCAGTCCTGCACAGAACATAAGGTTTCTTTCTGGGGCTTAGCTCTGCAGTGAGAAACTTCATCTGTTACCACCATTTCTTTCTTTCTTTTTTTTTGGTTTATTTATTTTTGAGAGACAGAGACAGAGTGCAAGTGGGGAAGGGGCAGAGAGAGGGAGACACAGAATCCAAAGGAGGCTCCAGGCTCTAAATTCTGAGCTATCAGCACAGAGCTTGACACAGGGCTCGAACTCATGAACTGCAAGATCATGACCTGAGCCAAAGTGGGACACTTGACTGACTGAGCCACCCAGCCACCCCTGTCACCTCCCTTTCTAGGTGAAACCCTTCAGGCAAGGAGCCCAAGGCTTCTCCCTGGACTCAGGGCAGGTAGGAGGTTCAGCCCTGTATGGGGGCCAAGCCTCCCTTAAGAGAACCCACAAAAGTATAGATTCTTTGTTTGAGCCCCCAAGAATGCTGTGGGGGAAGGAGAGAGCTTGTGTAGCCTTTAAAAATATTTATGTTTGTTATTATTCAGATTTCTTAAGTCACAGAAGTATTACGTTTGTAAAAGAATTTAAAATTTACTCATACACATAGCATATAACTTACTGCAAGTATGTATGTATATGTATATATATGCATATACCCATATAAAGTGTGAGTTTATATATAAAGTACATACTCTTAACAGGAGTTAGAGTATAATATTCTAGGCTTCTTTCTGTAATTTTAAAAAAGAAATTCATTTAGCAGATATTTATTTACCCTGCAACCTGGGGTGTAATAGTGGGGGGCAGGGAAGAACATTATGGATCATACATTCTTATATGGGAAGAAAACAATAAGCCAGATACATGACTAATTATATAGTATATTAGAAGGAGTTAAGTGTTCTGGAAAAATTAAAGCAGAAGGAGGATGAGGGGAGTCATTGTGGGAGAGGATTATAGTTTTAAATAGGATGATTAGGAAGGGCCTCATTTAAGAAGGTGATATCTGAGCAAAGACTGGGAGGAAGTGAGGGTGAAGAAGATGTGAATATCCCAGGTAGCAGGAACAACAAGTGCAAAGTTCTTGCTACAGAAACATACCTGAAGGGAAGATAATAGAGAGAGGATCGTATTGGTGGTGGGTGGTGGGTGCTGGGTGCTGGGAATGGAAGGAAACCTCTGATCTTACTCTAAGAGTGATGGAGAGCTGCTGGGGGACACTGAGCAGAGGAAGCCAATGGTCTGAGGCTTTAAAAGGGTTGCTGTTCTTCTGTGTGAGAAGACCATGATGGGCAAGGTAGAAGCAGGGCCTAGTGAATGTAACCATGTAGGTCATGTACAAAGGAGGTGGGGGGGGGTGTCACGCTTAACCAGGGTTGGGATTTTGCTAGATGTGACAAACTCAGAGAGGGATGAGGGGATGGAGGTATGTGCAAAGAAAGGGATAATGATTGACACTATGGTCACTCGATGCTGGAGAAGAGGGAAGTAAAGAAGGGAAGAAAGAGGCAAGATGGGGAAGCAATGGAGGTGTATGGATGTGTAATGTCCACAAACTGTAAGTCCCAGTGAGATTGAGGAGTTGTTGGAATCTGGGTAAGAGAAGGGTGAGTGGGAAAACAGGCTGGGATCATTGGAGAATAGAATACTTGAAGTTGAGTCTATGGACGGCATTGCCATTTTTGGTAATGTCACCATCAATGGTGTGATCATGGGTTGGGGTGCAGAGGAGAGCACAACTGTGGGAGGAAGGGAGGTCAAGAACTGAAAAGCCAAGGTGTAAAAGGATTATGCATGTGGAGAGGCAGAGAACCAGAAGCCAAAACTTCCAGAAATGAGTGGCTCATGACCTGAGGGTAGGAAGGTTGACCACTTCAAGGACAGCCAATACTAAATTCTAATGGTTCCAGCTTCAAAGATGGAGGTGTTTTGGGAGAAAGGAGGGAGAAGGTTCTGCAAGTGGCATCGAGGAGCACAGAGAACCCCACCCCACCTGCACACCTGGTGTTCTAATATGCATACTGCTCCAGGACATACTGCCCATGGCATCATTCGTTCTGGTTTCCCATTGCCTGAATATCTCATGAGTCACCTTTTGAAGATCACTTAAGATTGTTTCAAGTGGTGTGTGTGTATATGTGTCATTAGAAACAATCCTGCAGTTACCATCTTTATTGATAACAATGTTGTCCATTGAGGCCAAGGGTATGGGAAGCAGGGAGGTGGCAGGCAACCCTGGGCTCCAGTCTGGCCTCAGGATGTCCAGCTGCCCACATGATCCCAGATGAGAAGGACCAGCCTGTCTACAGCCCTTTGCCTTGATATAGACACTCTGCAATCTGGGTACTCACTTTCTTCGGTGTGGCATTCACCCCACACTGCTCCGATTTCTTCACAGTGGCCTGTAGAGAGGCTGATGTTCATCTGGTCCAGGCATGGTGGTCTGCACAGGATGAAGGCTGGAGAGCAACCCAGGGGACTGAAACTACAGATCATCTTGTAACTCTACCTGTTAGACATCTGGGAGAGAATGGAGGAGAAGATCAATAGCTCAGGAATCCAAGTGTTTAGTGAAAACAAGACATGTCAATATATTGGGGGAAGACCTCCAACAGGGGAAAAATGACCCTTCATGAAGGGAGTGGGGACTGCAAATTAGGATCGAGATTCCCAGGGGTTTTGCCACAAACTCTGTGTGCAGATTCCCTGCTCCTTTTGAAGCCCAATCTTCTCAAATAAAAAACTGGTATGGAGAGGAGGCACCACCATTTAGAGGGAGGGAAATGGTTGTAAGAGTCAACTAGAGCCAATTTCATGCCCAGGTGCCTCAATTTTCCTCAGTGATTAGCTCCTGGAACTTGTTTTCTCAGAAGTGAAAGGAGGATTTGAGGTACCTGAAGTAAGGGAATATGGGGCTTGTGTCCATGACAGGCCCTGTGCATATCAGGTTCCGATGAACCTTCCCTTCCCTTCCCACCCTAACCCAGGTCCACAGTCTCTATCCAAAGTCTTGATACTTATGGACTCTAGACTATTGTGGCTTTTAGAAGACTAGTCACCACTTCTAGTACATTACAAAACATCCCTGGTTGGGGCTGGGGTTGGGCAGAGGCAGCTCCTGTCTTCACATCCATGAATATTGCTGCGGTGAAAGGTGCAATACGTATTCAGTCGATGGGGCCAATGGAAACCAGAAACAGCCTTACATCATTTCAGCTCAGGTTTTGCTGCCAAATAAACTATGGAAAGATTTCTGCTTTTAAGTTTGGTTTTTCCCTCTGGCATAGAAAAAGTGACCAGACGTGACGCTGGAGAGAAGACATTTATTTGAACACAGGAGTACTAGTACCAGTCTTAATGCAAACCATGTTAAGGCCTCATAAGTTCTAACATTCCTCAGTTTCATTTTCCTCCTAAAAATAAAAAAATAAACCACACCGTTCTCAGAACAAGCCCAGAATACACCCTGATCCCTCCTTGCCCACCCATGGACTGCAACCTAGCCTTTGACAGGGGAGGGAGGGTGGGTGGCCTCATGCCTTAGATGATGGGGCCAAGCTTGGGGAGGGATGGACAATCTATTTCATTGTCTCCTGCATAGCACAGTGAACGACCAGGCTCTCCCCTGAGCCAGGGTGTGACAAAGTGAGTGTTTTAGTGCATTCGGGCTACTATGACAAAAATACCTAGACTGGATGGCTTATAAAACAATTTTTTTCTTACAGTTCTTGAAGTGAGAAGTTCAAGATCAAGGTGCCAGCAGATTCAGTGCCCCATGAGAGCCCATTTCCTGGTTCATAGATGGTCTGAATATGTATGTCCCCCACCTGCCTCAAAAAATCATGTGTTAATATCCTGATGCCCAGTGGGATACAACAAGAGGTCTGTACCCTGGAACAGGGCTGTCACCTGACCATGTTGTCACCCCAATCTCAGACTTCCAGACTCCAGAACGGTGAGAGATGGATTCTTATGGTTTATAAGCCACCCAGTTGCAGTATTTTGTTAGAGCAGCACAAATGGACCAAGACAGATGGTCGTCTTCCCATTGTTTCCTCACATGGTGGGAGGGGAGAGGGAGCTCTACAGCCTCTCTTATACAAGAGCACTAATTCCATTCATGGGGTCTCCACCCTCATGATCTAATCATTTCTCAAAAGCCCCACCTCCAACACCATCTTATTGGGGGTTAGACTTCAACTTCTGAATTTGCTGGGACAAACATTCAGACCATAGCAGTGTGCAAGGAGGATTTTTATTTCCTATGGTCTCCAATGGGTTATTTCCTTCTTTCTGCTTTTGGTCTAAAATGCAAGAGAGTCAGAACTCCACCCGGATGGCGTTTTCCTCAGAAAGGAGTGCAGGTGAATTGCTTCTTGGTACATTGCAGTGTCTGCTTCTGGGTTCAAATCTTCTACCACCAACTACCTGCTCTACCACCTGCTTAGGACACCTCCATTTCCCTGTGTGTAACATGGGGAAATAGCCACTACTACTTAGCATTGTTCAACTAGCTAAGACACTTACGGCAGAAATGGCCCAATTCTTGGCCTAGGATGCCTAACAAAAAACCAATGTTAGTTTTCTGTCATCTTTAATTTGGGTATAAGAAAACAGTAAGCACATCCAGCTAGTTTGCTTCCACCTTTGATTAGCCACTGATTTTTATGCTATTTAAAAAAAATGGTTTTAAAAAATCATAACCAGTTAGGGCAATGTAAAATTAGAGAGAAGTGGTTGCTTCAGAACTAATATTCCATCCCTCAAACACATTAATAAGGAAGCCTTACTGGCAACAAATTCCCTCCATTTTTGTTTGAGAAGGTCTTTATTTCTCTTTCCTTTTTGAAGTGTAATTTCACAGGATACAGAATTCTATGCTGGTGGTTTTTTCTCTCAAAACTTAAAATACTTCGTTCCATTTTCTTCCTGTTTGCATGATTTCTGAGAAGTCAGGTACAATTCTTATCTTTCCTCCTCTAAGTAATTCGGTTTTCCTTTGGCTTTCTTCAAGATTTTTTTTCCCCTTACCTTTGGTTTTCTGAAGTGTGAATATGATTTGCCTGGCTGTATGTTTTTTATTTTGTTTTGTTTTGTTTTTGACATTTATCCTGCCTGCTGTTCTCTGAGCACTGGGGGTTTGTCTACTGGCACTAACTTGGAGAAATTCTCAGTCATAATTGTTTCAAATATTTCTTCTCTTTCTTCTCCTTCTGGTATTCCCATTGTGTGTGTATTATACCTTTTGTGTCATCTCACAGTCCTTGGATAGTGTCTTCTGTGTTTTTCAGTCCCTTTTCTCTTTGCTTTTCAGTCCGGAAGTTTCTATTGTCATATCCTCAAGCTTAGAGATTCTTTCCTTAGCTGTGTCAACTCAACAAATGAGCCCATCAAAAGCATTCATTTCTGTTGCAATCTTTTTGATCTCCTCTTAAGAGTTTCCATCTCTCTGCTTACATTATCCATCTGTTCTTGCACATTGTCTATTTTTCCCATTAAAGCGCTTAGCATATTAACAAGAGTTTTGAAAAATTCCTGGTCTGATCATTCCAACATCCCTGCAGTATCTGACTCTGGTTCTGATGCTTGTTCAGTCTTTTCAAATTGTGTTTTTTTGCCTTTGAGTATGCCTTGTAATTTTGTGTTGTAAGGCAGGCATGGTGGACTGGGTGTAAGGAGGCCTTGAGTAACATGGTGGATGTGGGGAAGGGGAAATGTTCTATAGTCCTACAATGAGGTCTCAGTCTTTTGATGAGCCTGTATCCCTCAACTGTGAACTTCATTAGTGCTTTTAGTACCCTGCCTCCTCTTAGGTGGGATAAGATAGCTGGCAGGCTGGTGTTGGGTGTTTCCTTTCTCCCAGGTTGGTTAGGCTCTGATAGAACCCTAGCAGGTTAGTCTCTGATTAGCTAGTTTCTCTTGAGGCCAGGACTTTTGGGAAGAACAGAATGCTCTAGATTTCAAAATAGTTCCTTTCCCCCTGCCTCTCCTAGAAGGAGGAGGCAAAGTTTCTTGGAGCTTCACTGTGAGAATCTGGCAGAGCTCCAGGAGGTAAAACTCACCAAAGTGTGGGGCTCCCTTATTCTGGATCCCCTTGGACTTATTTTTAAAGTTTATTTATTGGGGTGCCTGGGTGGCTCAGTCAGTTACACAACCAACTTCAGCTCAGGTCTTGATCTCACAGTTCATGGGTTTGAGTCCCTTGTTGGGTTCTGTGCTGACAGCTCAGAGCCTGGAGCATGCATCAGATTCTGTGTCTCCCTCTCTCTCTGCCCCTCCACGGCTTGCATTATATCTCTCAAAAATAAATAAACATTTAAACAAAATAAAAAGTTTATTTATTTTGAGAAAGCAAGTGTGAGTGGGGGAGGGGCAAAGAGAGAAGGAGAGGGAGAATCCCAAGCAGGATCCGTGCTGTCAGCACAGAGCCCGATGTGGATCTTGAACTAATAGACCATGAGATCATGACCTGAGCCAAGACCAAGAGCTGGGATGCTTAACCAACTGAGTCACTAAGGTGTCCCCCTTGGACTTTTGCTCTCTCAGACTCTGCCACGCTGAGCCTCCAGACACTGCCAGTGATAGTCTAGGTTTTCCTCCTGCAGTGCTGGTTCCCATGGAGGTCTCTGCTTGTGGATGTTTGCTCTGATAAGCTCTGATTCTCTGTAGCTGCCTGTCTGCCTCTCCAATTTTGGGACAGTGGTTTGCTGGTCAATCTTGCTTTTGTGACGAATTTAAGAAGAGACATTGATTTTTCAGTTTGTTCAGTATTTTACTTGGTGTTAAAATGGAGTGAAGATGTCTAAGCTTCTTCCATGTGGGACTGGAAACTGGAAGTGGCCTTTTTCTAGCAATATCTTCCTGTTAAATGTGCATCCACACGCCCCATGTTACTAGCAAAGGCATGAGAGAGCTGTGGCTGCTGTCCTCAGTAGACCCATCAAGCCCATTCGGTCTCTCTATGTCTGGAGCTGTGGTTTCCAAGTGAGGGGGTTACACTGTGGAGTAAGTGCCACTAGGGTATAGGAAAGAACATCAGAACATCGAGTTATATTTATTTTTAAGCTCATCTCTTTATTTCTGTTTTTGTAGGTTTTATAGTGTGCATAAGAGATTTGTGTGGAAATATTTATGTATACTTTCTAAATAAATAATGGAGCTACATGCTCAGACAGTTTGAATGACAGGAATTGTGTTCAAAATAAAGTGAGGGGAGGATAACCACTGTTTTAGAGATTGATAACATATCTACTGGCTAAAATACTACATTTGGTTCCTTCTTAAATGATGACATCATTTTCCCCCCTCTCTTGACAGGGATTTATCCAAATATATGTTTTATTTTGTTTTGTTTTGCTTTAATGAGGCCTCAGAAATTTGGAATGAAATTATACTTTGCACTGATTTCTTAATGTTTAATGCTCATTTCTTAAGTTAAAAAAAAAAAAGTTGTTTTTTTCTCTTCATGTTCTATCCACTGTAGAAGTTTCCATACTGGCAAATGAAGTCAAGCCAACTTAGTCTTGCCAGGAGGGAGGACCAAGATTATTGGTCTCAAGACTAGAGAAATGCCTTCCATTTTCCTATTTCTCCCCTTTATTGGGGCAATGGGAAGGAAGGGACAGTGATCAGTGCCTACACTCTCTCGGCCACTCAGGAAGCCTATAGGTGGCATTGTGGTCCTGTACTCCAGAGTGGGGTCTGAGACGCAGCCATTGAACTTGTTCCCAAAGGGAGGACAAAAAGTCACCTGTTGCTTCTTGTACCTGAGCATTTCAGACATGAACACTCCAGCATCACCATACAGCTATGGAAGTAATGGCAGTTTTCAATGGCGGGCCTTGAAAAGCTGGTGCAGATTAAGAAAATGCTTCCATTTCCCTCCCAAACACAAGTTGACACTAGCACTAGGATTCAGGGTTGGAGTCAGCAAAATTATGATGGCGACAGGACACTGCCTGCCATGGTGCATGGTCCCAGTGCTGGTGGGAGTTTGGAGCACACACCTATTGTGATGTATGGCCAGCACCAACCTCGTAAAGGGGGTAATGAGGATAGCTCTGCCTTGGGGTTGTTGTGAAGTCAAATGAAATCAGGTACAAATGAGGAAGAACTTGGAAATCCCTGCGCCCCACACATGTGGGAAGGCCCACCTGTTGTCAAGGTAGCCACTTCGGCTCATCTCCATCAGCATCCCTTCCCAACCCGTCCAGATAACAGACACCCCCAGGTACCCAGAGATACTTCATTCCTGTGGTTTTACCAGGAGAATCTCTCCTTCCTTTTTCCATCCACCAAAATGTACCTTTTCATGGTCTACTCGACACTGGTAATTGCCACATTCAAAAAGCATTTGAGTGAGGAATCCTAGAAACAGAGTTTCAATTTAATTGGAAACCTATAAATCTAAATCAATTTCAATTTTTCTAAAACTGAAATTTCTGGTAAGGCGTTGAGAAATTTCTCCAGGTGGAGATATTTAAGGGCAGAAAGCCACTCAAATACCCTTTAAGCTACTGGTTTTCAACCCTGGCTGCACATTAGGATCACCTGAGAAGATTTAAATATTCGTAATGCCACATGGGCACTCCTGCCTATGGCCATATTATGATTTTCATGGGCCCCTTCCTTTAAGAATATATTGAAAATCATACTTTACTACTGCACTGGTACAAAAACAAATATGTTAGGGGCACCTGGGTGGCTCAGTCGGTTAAGCGTCCGACTTCGCCTCAGGTCATGATCTCGTGGTTCGTGGTTTCATGCCCCGCGTCAGGCTCTGTGCTGACTGCCAGCTCAGAGCCTGGAGCCTGTTTCAGTCTGTGACTCCCTCTCTCTCTGACCCTCCCCTGCTCACACTGTCTCTCTCTCTCTCAGAAATAAAATATTTTTAAAAAGACACATATGTTAATATTACATATTAAAACCTTTTCTTTGACCTAAAAGCTTGCCTCCTTCTTCTGATTTTAAACAAAAATGAAAACATTTTCTGTACCCCAAGTGCTGTGCCTAGCAAGTAAGCCATCATTGCCAAGAAGAGCTAAATCAGAATTTCTTGGGTGGAATGGAGGCCTCAGTGTTTCCTAAAGGTCCTCAGGCCATTCCAACAAAGAGCTAAGGTAGACACCTGCTTCCAACCATCCAAGAAGGAATGCTTACTTGGCAGAACAGGTGAAAAGTGTACTGAAGAGGCTATTTTCCTCTCATCCTCATGGGCCAAGGTCAGCCAAAGTCAGCCTGAAGCAGCCCAGCCTGCCTTGACACCCTGAACTTCTGGAAGGACAAAGCATCCCTAATTTCTTTATCATCATGCCTCTGGGATTCTGACCTCTACCTGCCTGAGAAAGAGACAGAGTGCATGCTGGGGAGGCACAGAGAGAGAGGGAGACACAGAATCTGAAGCAGGACCCGGACTTTGAGCTGGCAGCACAGAGCCTGACACAGAGCTCCAACCCACGAACTGCGAGATCATGACCTGAGCTGAAGTTGGATGCTTAACCAACTGGGCCACCCTGGTGCCCTCAGAACCAGGAAATTCTTCTGAGGGCACAATTTTTAAGTCCTTCCATCTGCTCACGAACAGGCCCAATCATGATCCCCTGAGGCACCAGTACCTCTCTGGGATGACGTTCTCTCCAACTCACCTGGCAATAGAGTGAAAACACAAGACATTACACCAGAAGCCTTATTATGGGAACAGGCCCCACCATGTTGACATAGGGCTCAGAGAGAGAAGGAAGCAAAGGTTTTAACATCCACAAGGAAGTTGCAGGCATTCTGAGAGACGGGGCAGGGATTTGAGCTGCTTTCATTGTTCAATGACATCCTTGAAGCCAATTGCCTTCCCATCATCCTACCTTTCCTTCCTTCCTCCCTTCCTGCCTTCCTTCCCTCCTTTCTTCCATCAACAAACACTTGTTGTGTTGTTTGGTGAGTTCCTTATAGATTCTGGATATTAACCCTTTATCTGATATGTCATTTGCACCCTCCTACACTGTTGGTGGCAATGCAAACTGGTACAGCCCCTCTGGAAAACAGTGTGGAGGTTCCTAAGGAAACTAACAATAGAACTCCCCTATGACCCAGCAATAGCACTGCTAGGAATTTACCCAAGGGATACAGAAATGCTGATGCATAGGAGCACATGGACCCCAATGTTCATAGCAGCACTCTCCACAATAGCTAAAACATGGAAAGAGCCTAAGTGTCCATCAACAGACGAATGGATCAAGAAGATGTGGTTTATCTATACAATGGAATACTACATGGCAATGAGAAACAATGAAATCTGGCCATGTGTAGCAACATGGATGGACCTTGAGGGTGTTATGCTGAGTGAAATAAGTCAGGCAGAGAAGGACAAATATCATATGTTTGCACGTATAGGAGGATTAGGAGGAACTTGACGGAGGACCAAGGGGGAGAAGAAGGGCGGAAATGGTGGGGGAAAGGGAGAGAGGCAAACCATGAGAGACTCTTGAATGCTGACAAAAACTGTGGACTGATGGATGTGGGGGGGTGGGGGGATGGGCATGGAGGAGGGCACTTTGGGGATGAGCACTGAGTGTTATGTGGAAACTAATTTGACAATAAACTATTTGGAAAAAAAAACAAAAACAAACAAAAAAACAAACACTTGTTGTGAACGTACTCTTAAATGTGTGGGGTACTGTAGAAAGTGTCTAACAAAGAAGAATAGGCCCATACCCAACATCTTGGATTCACATCCCAAGAGGGAGAAAGGCATACACACAGGCAAATCACAGAGCATAACTGGTAGGTCAGATACAGGAGAGCATGGAGTAAAGGGCACATCCCTGTGCCCCCAGGCTTACTGGAGCTTGTGTTCCACAACAGATGCCATTTGAGCTGAGTTTTAAAGAAGGTTCCTTGGTTGTCATGGAGATAAGGTTGGTCGGTGAGAGTGCACAGAGTGTGGAATTGAAGGGGAGTTCAAGGGTTCTCCAGTGCTATTTACTTAAGTGTTTCCCATTAGGAATCAGGGCATTAATTAACTGCAACCAGCGTGTGTGTGTGTGTGTGTGTGTGTCTTTTCTGCAAACACAGCCAGAGCCAGAGCTGAGCACTTGGCTAGAGAAATTGTTTTTCCCTTCTGTGTGCATCTCCTGAAACCAAATTACACTGATGACCCCCAAAACCTGCATTTTCACAGGCTCTTCATAGCAATCAAATTAAGAAATGGAGTAGGTGCATAGATAAGGCAGAGATAGAAATGGGGCCCAAGACAGGGAAGAAAAACATGTGAGAGACAAAGCTTCAAAGTTGATGAACAATTGATGTTTTCCTGAAGGTGGTCCTTTGCAAGCACCATAGCATATATGGAGCTCTCAGAACCTGTTCTTGTTTGCTGGTTATTATGGATCTCATCAAAGCTATGCCTAACCACAGCATAGATCAAGGGTGTTGCAACCAGCTTGTATTTTGTATTACTGTATTTAGCTCTGGTATAGAAGAAGATTGAAAGGAAATATATAAAACATTAACAGGGTTTGTGCTTGAGTGATGGGATTCTTTCATGGTCTTCTCCTTTCTCTCATATAGTTTTTAAACTTTTTATTATGAATTAATTACAGACATGGAGCTAGCTGGAAACATAGTACAAAAAGATCCTGTGTGTCCTTACCCCAGATTCCCCCAGTGGTTACATCTTACATAAATATAATACAATCATCAAAACCAGAAAACTGACCTCAGTACAACATGATTAACTTGATGACAAACCTTATTCAGATCTCAGGTTTTTAAATTTTTTAAAAGTTTTTATTTATTTTGAGAGAGAAAGGGAGAGAGAGTGTGTGTGTGCATGATGGGAGAAAATCCCAAGAAGGATCCACCCTGTCAGCACAGAACACCATGTGGGGCTCAAACCCACTAATTTGAGACCATGACCTGAGCCAAAATCAAGAGTCAGGTGCTCAACTCACTGTGCCCCCCAGATGCCTCCAGATTTCAGTTTTTATATGCACTTGTGTGTGTATGTGGGGAGGGGGGCTCTATGCAAACTTATCACATATATAGATTTGTGTTTTCATATTTTGTGGAACTTTTTATAATAAAAATGTATTTGTCTTATTATAAAGAAAAAAGCTTTACTATCAAATTCTTTTCTGAGACTCTCTCCCAGGGGGGATCAAAAGCCCCAGATTGGTAAATTAGTAGGCACAAATTTATTGATTGTGAAATTACTTATAAACAAACTTAAGTCCCTCTAGTATCTAACTGGAAACAATTGAAGTGAATTAACTAGAGTACTTTTGTTGATGGACTATTGTACAGATCTAGCAACTATTTATGAAAAAAAGGTTGTGATAACACAGGAAGGTGATTATGACGAAGTTAAGTGAAAACAAGCTACCAAATTGTGCAAGTGTGGGATGTGACTACGTAAGGAGATCAGCGCATGTGGGAGGTGATGGGGGAACAGGAGGCAAACTTATGCAAACTGTCTCTTTGTGTTTCCTTATTTCCCCAGCTTCCTTATTGATCATGTCTCAAATTTTAAAATGCATTGCCTTATGATCATATTAAAATACAGATTCTGATTCAGTCCATAGGGTCCTGAGTAGCAAGTAGGGGCCTAAGATGTTTAGTCCTAGCAAGCTCCCAGGTGATCTAGATGCTGCTGTGCTCCAGGCCAGAATATATAAACAATGGGTTATTAGCAAATAACCTTTAGAAATAGTTAGGTGCCTCTTACATTTAAAACTGGCCTCAGGGGTGCCTGGATGGCTCAGTTGGTTGAGTATCCAACTTCGGCTCAGGTCAGGATCCCAAGGTATGTGAGTTTGAGCCCTGCGTTGGACTCTGTTGGCAGCTCAGAGCCTGGAGGCTGCTTTGGATTCTGTGTCTCCCTCTCTCTTTCTGCCCCTCCTCTGCTTTTGTGCGCTTCTCTCCCTTTCTTTCTCTCTGCCAAAAATAAATAAATATTAAAATAAAAAACTGGTCTCAAATGCCGAATCATATACTCCCAAATCCAATAAAATCCCCTCTCTTTACAGATTCCACTTGGATTTTCCAAGTAACAGACTATGGAGACTTGGCCTTGTGCAGCCCTAGATAATGAGATTATTCATTTGTTCTGAATTAACTGGTTTACTAAAGGTGGGAGCATAGTTTTCCAAGGGTTGTTAAGTGTCCTTGCCTTCCATCCAAGGCTTGAGTCTTGTTGACTCATTGCTTTCCTTGGGAGACCCAATTTTGCCCCTTAATCACCATGGTGCCGGAACCTCACAAGAGGAGGAAAAGCACAGTTTGGCGGGCCCTTCTCACTCCCGTAATCCTCATGCTAAACAACCACCTGCTTGTTTAAGAAAAGTAATGTGAGGAACGTGGACTCCCTTTATCTCTTGGCAGCCTCAACTGTGCAGCACTTTATTTTTCTTTCAATCTTTCAGCAGGGGCTGTTTCTGCGCTAAGTGTTGCCTAATTAGATTACAGCACAAAAAGTTCTATTTTTAAAACACCACAAAGTCTTTCGTGTGAGTCAATGAAGCAGTATATAAAATCTTTTATTTATTTTGTCATTTATAGATGTCAGCACTCTTCTGTTAATATGACTTGACCTCTATAATGTTATTTTGTATTAAAATTCAGGCATGTCTTATGTAGAATACATGGACTTTTCAAGATGTAAAATTAAGAAAATTAATTCCTTCATGAGCTCACTACCTATAATGGTATCCTCTGTTTTGTTTTTGCCTAGATATAACACACATGTCTCTTTTTTTGTTAAGCTGTTATCATACCATGTTATAAGCTTTGTAATCTCTGCTTTATCTTACTTGATCCTCAGAGTGGCCTTGGGAAGAGACAGGACAGATATTATTAATCCCAGGTCATTGAAATTGGCTCACTGATGATAACATTCCATGATGGTTCTTGTCAGTTGTAGAAACTGTTCCTTCTAGGCTTGACCCAGCACCTCTTGGGGACACTCCATGGTGAAGACCAATTGTCACCTAAATTGCTATTAATTGGATGAAATAGAATATTTCTAATATGGAAAGCTCCCGTCTTTAATTCTTTTTTGTTTTAGTTTATCTATTTTTTGAGAGACAGAAAGAGCAAGCACGGGAGGAGCAGAGAGAGAGAAAGGGAGAGAGAGAATCCCAAGCAGCCTCTGCACTGTCAGCACAGAGCCCGATGCAGGGCTCGAACTCACACACACTGAGCTCATGACCTGAGATGAAATCAAGAGTCAGACCATAACTGCCTGAGCCACCCAGGTGTCCCAGAGTGCTCCCATCTTTAGAGAGGTGGCTGCTGTCACCTAAATTTTGTTTTTATCCAGCCTTGAAGAAGGCACTAATCAGAAGTGTATTAAAACTAAATCTCCAATAAACACACTGTGGTAGGTGCACACAGCAGAATATGCAGTCTAATGAGAACAACTGCTCTAGAACTGAGGGCAACAAGATGAGCTAGTGTATTCATAAACAAAATATTGTGTGAACAAAAGCTAGACATGAAAGAATACACATTGCCTGGTTGCATTTATGCAAATTGCAAAAACAGGTAAAATGAAGCTGTGGTGTCGGGGTTGCAGGAGGGATACCCCAGGGGCCCTTGTGACCAGACAGGACATACATAGGATTCTGGAAGCACTGGTAACATTTTGCTTTTTTTTTTTTCTTTTTGGCTATGGGAAACAGACTTTGTCTTTTACCACTTTATTTAGGTATGATTGACATACAAAAACTGTATGTATTTAATGTATATAACCTTAGGATTTTGGAGATAAGTACAGTAAATCCTTGAATTGTAAGTAACTTGTGTTTTGCAAGATGAGCAAACATTTCTAATAAATTTTAAGTTGATAAACAAATGATGTCTTGCAATATGAGTAGTATATGACACCGAATGTCACATGATCACAACTGAGCCAATGGTACTCTCTCTCTCTCTCTCTCACTGCTGGATTGTGGGTGATTGTCTTCCATCCTTAGATGCTCCATCTCAGGCTGTGGTGTTTGGCAGAAATCAGTGATTTTTTTAGAACATTGGAAGCTGCCCACAACTGGAACTAGCGTATTTTTTGTCACTTCAAAATACCTATGAACAGTCCTTTGTGTTTCCATACTAGAGAAAGTTTTAGGAATGCTTTGCTTCATTCTAAATCAGGCTGCCTGCAGATATAGGCTCTTTCTTCTGATGCCTTATTGCCAGTTACATTAAATACAGTATATGGCAAGAGTCTATTAATACTGTACTATAAAAAGATTCCATTGAGTTAATAGACAGCAGTGATTCTGTTAATGATAAGGAAAGTCATCCTACACAATAACCTTCTCTCATCTCCCTCACACCAGCCACAAAGGTTTTCAAAGATAAGTACAGGTTAATTTGCTTATTTTTCTTTATATTTTGTATTTGCTTTACTATTTTGTAGTATATTACAGTCTTGTAATCATTTTTATATGGATATTTTTAGGTTGTGAAATGAATCATCTGAGTTTCCAGTATTTCTTATGGGGAAATTCACAAGTGCTTTGGATTACAAGCATGTGTCCAGAATGAATTATGCTCACAAACCAAGGTTTTACTGTATTACCTGTAAGACCATCCCCACGGCAGACCATGCCATAAACATATCCCATCACCACCAAAAGATTTTTCCTGTCCTCTTTACTTATTGTGTGCGTGTACATGTGTGTAATAAGAATACTTAACGTAAGATCTACCCACTCAGTAAATGTTTATGTATTCAAAACAATACTATTAACTATGGGTACTATGCTGTACAGTAGATGTCTATAACTTATTCATTTCATATACTTGAAACTTTGTACCCTTTGACCAACACCTCCCCACGCCCTTCCCCTACACTCAGCCCCTGGCAACT